ACTGTGATGGGAATCTGAAATGCAGAATTTGCAGTGTCATTGAACCCACCTCTTCCTCACCTGACCTCCAGGACTGATTGGAAGTGAGACATTAAGTGGAAAATTAGATTCATGAGATGTATCCGTGCAACTTCCCGGTTTCTGTGATTGAAATGTGATGGTTATTAGAAAAAGGGTGTTTTCATTGCACAGTCTGTTACCAGCTCTGTATCCAATGCCTGGGATTTGGAGGCTGAGTTGGGGTCTTTTTGCCTTGAATTTGTCACTCTCTTGCTAATACTCTTGCTTATACATGTTACCATCATTGAACTGAAGTTGTGGGGTATTTCCAGCTGCAGGTCTGGTTGGTTTCTGATGTGGTTCATGTGTTATTCAGAACAACTGTGAAGGCAAGAGCTTGAAACATGTTCTCTCCATGTGATAAATCTTGACTGACAAGAGGGAAGGTGGGGGATCTGCCCTACTCTCTTTCCATGTAATGTAGCAACATAGTAATCCCATAACAAGATCTGCAAGATTTTTCATTTAACACTGGAATGACTTCAGTGTTGTGCTCTCTCATCCTTCCTGTAGATACAGCATGGCCTTGAATGACTTCCCATCATGCTGTCAAGTCTGGTTATTTTCCTGTCAGGTCTTACTGTGGCTCCTGCATAGATTCTTCTTTTGTATTGTCTTGTTGGCTTGTTTTTATAAGTTAATGGTGCAGGGGGGGAGGAAATAAAAAGAGTGGTACTTACAGGAAGACAGTTTGCGTACACCTTGTCGGCAGGGCTGACTGCAACACAGCCCAGACAGATTAGCACACCACTGCCTGCCTAAAACAAATAAACACCAGCTGTTTATCAGACAGGGCTTGGCTTTCTCCAGGAGGTGGTAAACAGATTTATGCAGATGAACCTCCCAGGTGCCCTTGCAGCACAGCATCTTTCATGGCTACTCGGCCTTCTTTATGAGTTACAACCAGGACAGACCAGGCAGGAGATGCAAGGTTAGCACAATAACACAGCCGTTTGCTCAGTGCCAGGGTACTTTGTCATTGCTTTATGTTTAAGCCCATATTTAATAGTAACGTAGAATTAATCATAATGCTGATCTCACCGTGAATGGAAGAATTTGATGTAAACTTCAGTATTTTAAGCCTAAAGCATGTGAAAAAGCAATTTATTGCAACTCACTTATTATTCTATTTGTGCCTGAAATACTACGAGGCAAAATTTATGGCCATTTGAAGTGGAGAGAAATTGGGATCGGCAAAATTACTTTTCTGACTCTATGTTAAGATTGTCCAGTTACAGTCAAAGTAAACTTCAGTATTTTAAGCCTAAAGCATGTGAAAAAGCAATTTATTGCAACTCACTTATTATTCTATTTGTGCCTGAAATACTACGAGGCAAAATTTATGGCCATTTGAAGTGGAGAGAAATTGGGATCGGCAAAATTACTTTTCTGACTCTATGTTAAGATTGTCCAGTTACAGTCAAAACTGCTTAATTTCATGAACCTTTTTTTTTTTTATGACTGAGTTTACTTTAAATCCAGCAGCACTACGTGAGTTCACAATTTCAAAAGGATTTCTCCTCCTTCAGTTCAGCTCCATCAGCCACAATATCTCCTTAAATTCTTCGTAAGAATTTTCCCTAGAGGTTCTCAGGTGACCCCAACAACTTACTTTGAAATCTGGTATTAATGACAGATGGGATATAATTTTAATAATGTAGACATAATTACAGTTTGGATGCTGGCTCTCAGAAATGTCTGATCATTTATTAAGATGTTGTTGGGAGCAAAAATTGGGAGCTGAAAATTCTGAGCAAGACTCTGGGGAGTTCAGAAAGAGAGGTCTGCTTCAGTTCTCATGATGTTACTGTTTATTCAACAGAAGTGTAAATAACTTCAAATAGTATCATTAGTTATTCTGAAACAGTTTCCTTTTAACTGGATCTTGCATCAAATGGGGAAAACATATTGCAATTGTTATGTTTCTGTTGGGATTCTGAGTTTTTTTAGGTATCCTTGGGTTCCTCTTTATACAAGATCATTTCCTGACAGCTTTCTTGACTGCTGCTATTCAGGAGACCAGGAACGTAAATACATGGTTTGTCAATGCAGCAAATCTTAGGTGCTGTACTGATGAGTGTTATAGAAATGCTTGGCAAGAGAAAGAGGAAAAAAACACTTTTCTATAAGCAAATTGGTGCCATTTGAGCTTTTCTTAGATTAGGACTTTCCTCACCCAAATGCATCACTTAACATTTCAACACATAATATTGCAGATTTCTCAAGGTACTCCTTAAACACTCAACTAAACCAGGTGGAGAAAACAAAGTCCACATGTGATTTGTTCTCCTTGGCTGTCATTGCAGATTTAAAACCAAAGTCATTTTGTATGTGTCTACCATCCCGTGCCTTAATGTTACTAATATTATTAATATTGGTAAGTAACAGTTCTCAGTCTATTGAACAATTAATGAAAAGGTCAACAGGAATTCTCTGTAGAGGTGTCGTTCATTACAAGGCCCATTGCTTATACTACCTCACAGCATCTATCTTCCCAAACAAGCAAAAAGGCTGGAGCTGGCAGCTCCTTAAACCTGCCTGAGAGCTCCTAATTAAAAAGCTTAATTATATGAAAACCATTAGGATGTTAGTCTTTTAATCCATTGGCTTTTTTATGCATTAAGTGGTCCCAGTGTTGTTGTGGGGGGTATGATCTCATGGTGCCTACTCGGGTGCCTGGGGGGTAGAAGCTGGTGGCAGATTGTGCTCTCTGCTAGTGAAGCTTCCCTGCAGCCAGTTTGGAGCCAGGTGTTTGTCACCTCCACCTCCTGCATCTGCAGTGCCTCAGGGAAGATGCATCTGAGCTGAGGGGTGCATACCTGTACAGCTCCTGTGGCACATGGAAGAGGTGGAAAAGTCTCAAGACCAGTCTCAGTTTGTGGGCAAACATATATAGGGCCAAGTTATGAATGCCCCAGGGGAGGAGTGGGAACAGGGCACTGCCCCATCTAGTATCACTGCCCCATCTAGTATCACTGCTTGAGGAGACCTCTAGTGCATCAGCTTTTGCTCACCAACTACTGGAGAAGTTGGGGGTGGCCTGGTCTACCACAGCTCTCCAGGGAGACAGTAAGCTCCAGTGAAGGGCAGTTTAGATTCTGTGCCCCAGACAATGCTCATATGGCTGAGTGTCCATGGTTCATTCCAGGCAGTAAAAAAAGCTTCTTTGCACTGCCAGAGGAGCTGAATGGGTGCTGTGATGGCTGAAAGGTGCTTAGAGCTTTGGCAGCAAGTAATTGTGTCCTAGTGTCATCCCCAAAAGGAGGGAGTATGGAGACTCCCAAGCTCTCCCAGCAACCAGTGACATTTAGTCATGGCCCAGCGTTTGTGGAGGTCCTGCTAGTCACATACCCACCATTGTAGGTGCCTAGAACCTGGGTAGATCAAGCCCCTGTGAATGACCCTGTTAGCTGAACAGACCTATCTGTTCAGGTCACAAATTAGGAGCTGAGAAATTAGGAGCTGAGCTGGTAGAAAGCAACTCCATGGGGAAGGACCTTGGAGATCCTGGTGGCCAACAAGTTATCCATGGGACAACAATATGCCCCTGTGGCCAAGAAGGCCAGTGGTATCCTGGAAAGCATAAAGAAGAGTGTGCCCAGCAGGTCGAGGGAGGTTCTCCTCCCCTTCTACTTTGCCCTAGTGACACCCCACCTGGAGTATTGTGTCCAGTTCTGGGCTCCCCAGTTCAGGAGGGACAGAGACTTACTTGAAGGAGTCCAGTGATGGGCTATGAGGATAATTAAGGGACTGGGACACCTGTTTTATGAGGAAAGACTGGGGCTGTTTAGAGAAGATTGAGAGGAGATCTTACTAATGTATATAAATATCTGAAGGGTGGGTGTCAAGAGGAGGGGCCAACCTCTTTTCATTTGTGCCCTGTGATAGGACCTGAGGCAATGGATGCAAACTAGAACACAGGAAGTTTCACCTCAACTTGAGAAAAAACTTCTTTACTGTAAGGGTTAGAGAGCACTGGAACAGGCTGCCCAGAGAGGTTGTGGAGTCTCCTTCTCTTGCTACTTTCAAGACCCATCTGGATGCATTTCCTTGTGACCTTCCCTAGGGGACCTTGCTGTGTCAGGGGGTTGGACTTAATGATCTCCAGAGGTCCCTTCCAAACCTTAATATTCTGTGATTCTATGATCTTCACAGGCCTCTGCACCTTTGTTAAATTAATAGCTATTGCTCTTTTAGTCTTGCAAAACCTCAGTTGCTATTCTGTCAGTCCTCCCTGTCCTAAATGTCAGTGGAGAGGATCATTGAAACTAATGCCTCGAGTTTGCCAGTTGTGCCAATGACTTTATTTTGGTATGATCTTGTCTCTCAGGGAACAGTTGTGCAGGAAATGGCTGCAGGGTCAGGGTCTTGTTGAGGGGCAATGCTTGGCATGTCTAACCAGCTCATTTGTACCCTAAGGTGCGTGGAGGTCAGTGGTCCTCCTTCCCTTGGGAACACTTTGACTTGCCAAGGTTCAGCCTCAAATCTCTCTGAGTTTGGGTTTAAATGAATCCTGACTGAAATGCAAACTCAACAGGACCTTCTAATCTTTCCTGGCCTGACATTGGAAGTATGTGACCTTTGCTACACCTCGCAGGAGATGGATTATTTCCAGGATAATTCCAAAGAGATTCAGGTCTTTGTAGCAGATTCTGCCCCAAAGTTCCCTCTCCCCGAGAACAAGCTTGGCTTGAGCTCGCAGTGAAAACGTGATGAACCTTGAGTACTTTTCTTGCAGATGTTTTGCATGAGACTAGCTTCATCCCAGAGATGGCTGCGTTCTGTGGGTGGGAAAAAAGATCCCTGTAGATATTTTGCAAAGCAATTTCAGATCCTTTGCAGCTTGCTAGAAAATTGAATTAGTTGTTTTCCATTCCCTGAATTAACCCTGATTCATTCTTCCCTCAACCCTCTCCCTCTTCCTCCCCTCCCTCCAACAGATGTCCAGCATATTAAGAGGAGAGACATCGTTTTGAAGAGAGAGCTGGGAGAAGGTGCCTTTGGGAAGGTGTTCTTAGCCGAGTGTTACAACCTCAGCCCCACCAACGACAAAATGCTGGTGGCAGTGAAGGTAATTCCCAAGGGCAAATGGCAGAGAGCATGGCAGGGGCTGGCTGGAAAACTGGGCTGGATGAGCCTGCGTGGGAAAGGGAAGCAAGGGAGGGCTGTAGGCCAGGGGCAGAGATTTATCTGATGCTGAAGATTGTGGTAAATCCACTTAGTCACACAGAGTTTCAGTGTTTCACGTCAAGGTCATCTATTCTCGCCGATACCAAAGCCTCTCTTCCTGCCGATGTGGCCAGGAGACAGACGGGGAGGAGAAGCTGGTCTGGAAGCCATAAGCTCCCAGGCAGCTGCAGCAGTGTGGTCTGGATCCCACCTTCCCCCCCACGAGGGAATGGGGCCCATCTCTTCCTGGATTTTATCTCTGTGCAATGTGCAGAAGCTGAAACAAAAGAAGTCCTCAGCAAATTGAGCTCTGAAAAGCTAAGCATGACAAACCAATTTGCTGAGATCAACTTGCTGCAAGATGGATGAAGCATCCCAGCTCACCTCCACTCAGCTCCTGCTTGCTTAGCCACAGATCATTGAGCCAACACACCTTGTGCTGTTTGCATCGTCGTGAGGATCCTCATGTGAGCTGTGCCCC